TCTCAAAACTAAATACTCAAAGTGCATGTACATTCTATCTTGTCCAGAGTTTTATTTCTTTCAGGACCTCCACAGTTCTTCCAAGGACTCCTAGACAAAGGGAAAATGTCGCATGCACACAAAACTGTATAGAAAGATGCAAGTGCTAATTATCTTGTCATTTGGGGCTGCTGTTATACGCCTCTGTATAGTTACTTGAGTTTTATGTATCATTTCTTTAAGATTTTTTTATAGACCATTGAGCACACAAAGAAAAAAGATGAGGGGGATGTACAGGAAAGATAAGGAAAAGGGTTCTTTCTTTTAAAGTAAAATAAGTGTCCATGGAAATTTTCTTGACAGTTAGACAAGAACTGCCAATCAGAAATGAAACATCAAATTCTAAGTCAATGAACCTTATTGGACCTATGATGCATTGGAACAATTATAACTTTAGTGATGTAATACAAATGTCAAAAATAAAAACAAACAAAAAAATAAATGTCAGCCCTTCAAACTGGTATTAAACCTGAAAGGCAATTGCAAAATATCGAATGGCTTTTCATAGAACATACTAGTTCTCAGGAATCTCCCTTGGTTTTTTTACATAGTAAACAAAATATTAAGTCAATCTTGCCATTAATATTTCTCTGCTACTGAGTCTTAACTGAGAGTTGATTTGCCTCTTAAGAATACCAATCCCTTCAAAGAGAAGCAGCTTTTCTGTTTTTAACCCAAAATGTACTTCTGAATCAGATCATAAGGTAGTCAAAAACAATCATTATAAAAAAAACATAATCATGTAGTCATTTCTAATTATTCATTATATGTTTTAATGGTGTTGTTGCTTGTTTAATCCAAAGCTCTTTCTTTCTTTACCATTATGACAGAATGAGAGCCTATTTTTTCTCAAGCCTGAAGACAGTATGATTTCGTACACTGCTTCAAGACTCACCTTGGCTGATCTAGTTAACCATTACAATTCCCTTCTCTTGATCAATAATGGTTCGGACAGCAAAATGTGGGGAAAAAATCCTCGATAGTCAGAAATAAAAAATGCAGTGCATTACTTCTAAAAATAGTTCTTCTGACTCTGGATATAATATGTCATATATAATCCCTGAAGCTATGTTTATTTCTGAAAGGCAAGATTATTTTATTTTTATGCAAATATCACAAAAGTATTAAGTTTTGTTCCTTTTTCCTGCCAACCAAGCTCACCCTTCATGAGGCATTTCTGTAAGCACACAATGGTGTCTTATTCATATGTTGCTGTGAAAAAAAATAGCATAAGACATTTATTAAGATACTGGAAGGCAGAGAGGGATAGTTGTCAATATATATAATACATAATTCTTATTTTAATTTTTTATATCTTTACATTTCTCATTTCTTTCCCAAATATTTCACAATAAGCATGTATTACTTCTAAAAAATTTTTTCTTAGGACTTTAGAAAGCCGTTGACTTGATTCTGCTATTGGTCAAGTTGAAGTAAGAGAGTAGTACTATTACTATTAAAAGTAGCTTAGCCAACCATGGGAATCTTCCTAGAGACATGTTCTATGTGGAAAAGGGCCCAAACAGAACATAGTGGTCTACTTGAGTTAAAAAGGCAGAGACTGGAGACCAAGGCAACCTCTTAGCAGAGTGGAGTCTTTGCACTGCTGAAGGCCAGAGAGAAGAAAGCCACAAGTGAGCACTCTGAAAAACTAGAGAGGGGTCCTGTTGGACACCTGACTGAACATTAATCTGGGGCCAGGGAAATAACCACCAGAAATACCTGTGGAACATATGTAAGTCTGTACATACTTTGAGCTCACACCAGCGAGACCAGAGAGGTATCCAAATGACAAGCCAGTAGGCAGAACCCTCTGAGTGGTCCTACTTTAGGAATGAGGGTGGAATTCTAAAGATTGTTTTGGGTCCACCATAAGACTAAGAGACAGTTTCAAAGGATTCACTCCATTCAAAGTAACTTATGCATATCATAGAC